ATGTTTCGAATTCAGAAATCTGAAAATCTTAGAACTTGTATGTTCTCCTTGCTTTTTTATACAAATTTAACCGTATGTTGAAAGGAAAATAGTAACTAGTTCAGAAAAGTAGATTTAGGGCTAGTTTAGTTCGCGAATGAAAATTTTTGGCATGTCACATCGGATATACGTACACATATTTGCGTAGACTAATAACAAAACGAATTACAGATTCCGCCTGAAAACTGCGAGATGAATTTATTAAGCCTAATTAATCCTTCATTAGCAAATGTTTACTGTAACACCATGTTATCGCATCATGGCGCAATTAGGCTTAAAAGATTCGACTCGCAATTTACATTCAATCTATGTAATTAGTTTTATTTTTATATTTAATACTACATGCATATGTCTAAACATTCGATGTGAAGGGTGAAATTTTTTTGGTTTGGGAACTAAACAGGGCCTTAATGTGCACAATCTATTTTCTGGATTTTCTGAACATGTGCTTGCATAGCATCAATCAGAAAAATTGCACGCATCTCCATGTTGTATTTTGTCTTACTAGACGTTAACCCGTGCGTTGCACAGGGTAACTTTATTTTTTTAAAAAAGAGTCATTTGGACTAATCGAACAAACACAATATATTCTTTTGTCCAAACTATTCTGTATTTTCTTTTATTTTTAATATTATTTTCCAGAAATCCTATATTGCTAATAACCTCAGTATTTAATTTTGTAAACAGGAATTGTGGTCCTATTCAGACTCAATGCAATCGTTATATTGTGGATGTGAGATATCTTTTAACATCATTATATCATGCATCCTCTTTAGCAGCTCATAAAGTATAGAATTGTATCTGTTTGGCATTTCTAATGTTTTAGCAATATCCAAATGAAAATAAACTTACTATGTTCTTCTTTGTGGATAGTTGAATATTCTATAGATAGATAATGTTATAAGTATTTTAAGTTATTATAAATATAATAAGATATTGGAACTGTATAATTTTAAAATATAAATTTTGACGACAAAATCAAACTACCTTGACCAAAACATGACAATTCATAAAAAAAACAAATGGCATGAATTCGGTAGATATAAAGAGAAATATTGATGCAAAAGTGTTCGAAACACATGTATATGAATACGACATTTATACATAATTGTGCTGAGTATTCTGAGCAGATCTTGTCTAGCGTTGTGTATATGCGCCATGTCGCTTCCTCCTGCTGGCAGTCCTGATCTATATGAGATATTCTCAAGAACTAACATGTGTAGATTACATATGTAAGCTACTAAATATTTGAAGAATATCTGCTGGCTGCCGATGTGGTACGTGTGCTTCGACTGGTCTGCAGACTGCAATTAATCGATCTGTCGCTTGCTACACCTTGTTGTATGTGCCTCGATACACGCCGACGCTAGCGAAATTTATCTTGTGATGTTGTGATTCCCAACGATCTACTCCCGCGTATTTCTCACACCGTACGACTCCCAAATATAACTAGATGAGCAAAATGAAGAAAGGTTGAGATATATGCGCCGGAGCAAATATATAAAACTCTGTTCTATTTCTCAGTGTTTTCTGGAATTATTTGATTTCCTGTAGAGGTAGACATTGTGATGAAACCTTGAAAATTGTTATCATGTAGTCTGATTCCTCAGTCATTAATGGTCAAAATACTATATAGAATCATATATAAAATACTTCCTCCGTTTCATAATATAAGACTTTCTAGCATTGTCCATATTTATTTAGATGTTGTGTCTAGATTCATTAACATATATATGAGTGTAGACAGTGCTGGAAAGTCTTACATTATGAAACAGAGGGAATACAATGTTGTTGGTATTTCTTAACGACATTACTAGAAATATAATTCCCAGCAATGGCGCAGAAATACTTCTGGTATATTATGGTTACAGAGTTCATTCGCAAGCGCACGGATATACCATTGTAGCATTTCACCCGAGAGTATTCTAAGGGTATCGTATTTATTTAATACTAGTAGGCGCATCGGTGTTGGTGCCAATACCGTGAAGTTGAATTTGTCAAAGACGTGTTTGGGCATGACGTTGATACTTGCTCCAAGATCACACAAGGCTTGGTCGAACTATTGTGCCCCGATCGAACAGGTGATCGTTGGACACCTCGAATATTTCTTCTTCTCTGGGAGCTTGTGGAGTATGGCATTGCTGCATTGCTCCGTCAGCTTGACCACCTCCTTTGTTGGGAGCGGTCTCTTGTTGTTGAGGATATCCTTGAGATAACGGGCACATGTTGGCACTTGCATAGCATCCAACAACGGCATGTTGATGTGAATCTTCTGGATTACTTCAACAAAACGAGTGAACTGCTCGTCCACCGATGGTTTCCTAATCCATTGAGGAAACGGCAGCAACCGTGTGTCGCAGTACTCCTGCAGCACAGCCTTCTCTGGTTGAACCTCTTCATCAGCCGAATTACTAGATGGTGCTTCCTTGGCGATACCATTAGTTCCTATAGGGTTAGGATGTTGGTATTTCTTAACGACATTACTAGAAATATAATTCCCAGCAATGACGCAGAAATACTTCTGGTATATTATGGTTATAGAGTTCATCCGCAAGCGCACGTCCGCAAGCGCACGGATATAACATTGTAGCTTTTCACCCGAGAGTATTCCAAGGGTAGAGTGACACACAAGCATTAGCTACTCATTCTCATAATATATTATCTAAGCTAAGTGGAAAGAAAAGAGAAAGAAAATCTATTCCTATACTTCTAATATACATAGTATACATACATTCTAGTTAACCGATATACTAGCTAATACCCTCTATCCGATGCCCTCCTGGTACTTTGAGAAGCCACCCCTGACTGCCGAGTTCCTTACGACAGCCCGTCATGACCATACAACCGGGGCTAAATACGGAGGAATACCCTCCCCAGGGAATTAACTTAGGATTATATACAGGCGCGGAGGAATACCCGTACTGAGCTGTCACTATAAGCGGCCCACCTCTCATCCGCAGCATATAACCCCAAATAATGATATCCCGCAATCTAGACACCACATCTAAACTACCAGATAGTACTCTAATATCATCGTCATGACATAGAGTAATTGCATATGTAAATATTATACCCGCACAAAAGCCGTATATTCAGTATAACATTAACATAATGTAAAGTAGGCATTCATATACTCAGAAAGTATTTCAATACCATAAATGTATATAGAAGAGTATTCTAATAAAAGTACAAAGCGTACAAAAGAGAAGAGAAAAGCTACTAGAGTCATACCCGAACTCTTCCGAAGACTTCCGGACTCCTGATTTCTACTATATTCCTATTCCACCAGCTAGATACTACTAAACTAAACTTGAGAGAATATGAGAGAGCTATTGCTTGAGGTGTGTGTTTGAAGTGAGAAGATGAGCTCCTTTTATAGGCAGGTAATGACGGTTGTAACGGTTGGAATGGTCGATAATACCCTCCAACTGTCATTGGGGATCAATCCCAGCCGTCCATCCAAAACCTGCATCCATCAGCGCCATGGGAGGTTCCGTCGAACCCTATGGTTCGGCCAAACCATGGGCTGGCCCAACCCAACCCATCTTTGCTTGCGGCCTCCTTTGTTGTCCTCCTCCGTAGACTTGTGAATTTTGGCCCAGTGTGTCGTGTTATTTCTGAGTTCTTAGCCCATTCATACGTAAGTCTGGTTCTCGATACCGTCCGATTGATTTATCGTCTGAGTTGATGTCGATTCTCCTCCACTTTATTGTCATTCTCTGCAAAAGGTTAGTATACCTAATACTAGTGGAATATTATTATTCTAACAGATATATGCATTGCAAGCATCACTAGTTCTCCTCTATTTTAGTAATATTGACGGTCGAAACTGATCGATAACGACCATCAACATGGGATACGGTGGATCACGAGTGGACTTACCTCCCCTCATTGTGATCGCCTTGACATTTTCAATGGAGGAGTCAGACTGCCCCGGAATTCTCCCAGATTCACTTGCAGGTACCTATGAAGCCAATTGAGCTAGCTGGGTTTCTATCATCTTAGTAAAGCTCAGCTAGTTTTGGAAAGCAGAAGCGAAGCCATCTAGCTTGACATTAATGTTCTCTAAGACCTTGTCATTGACAGCTAGCTTTTTGCTTAAGGCATTAGTGGTTTTAGCTTGCGCAAAGACAAGAGCCTTTAAGGAGGACTGACACCCTTCATGGTGTACGTACTACAAATCTCCAGGAACTGCTGCAAATGAGCATTGGCATCCTCATTAGGCTTGCCGCAGAACGGGCTAGCATGTGTCATCGTGATGAGGCTGGACTTTAGATCGAAATCCACATCTCCCATGTTGATATGCGGCCCAATGGAACATTGTCAGCAAAGGGAGCAGCGAATTCACGGAGGGTCTTATCAGCCATGGTCTTGAAGGTCGGTGAAGCTGGTATGGCTGGTTTCTTTATCGGTAGAGTTTTCTACGGAGCGATGACTTGCGGCTTGACGCTCCGGAAGAAAGCTTCTGGATTTTCCTTAAAGTTTTCCGGTAGGTTGAAACCAGTCATGCACTACCCCGTTTTCACAACAAAAGTGAAAACAACCAAGGTTAGCCTGCAAAGGGCAGTGATTATACAGAGGTAAATATAAAGTATTTGGGGACACCCCGAATATTATACCATCCAGTGTCCAACGCGACCACCACATACTATTGGAGAAGTGGGATCCATATACGCATAAATAGCCATTCGTCCTCAATGTGTCCATGATCGCGGTTGACAACCTTCTGTTATAATAACCGGAATGTCAAGTAGTGAGCGCAAGACATAACCGTAAGATAGCTTGCCAGTCCACTCCGTCATATGCCCGTCAACCACTCGAAGGTGGCGACCAAAAGTATACCCCAGTGACTCAATCCAAAGCGCTATCCCCAATTATCTCAAGCGATCAAAACTCGTTACTCATGCTTAGCTAGTCCCCAGGAATGTGATTAGCCTCACACTTTCATCGGAAGCAATTAAAAACATAGCAAGTACCATAATAGGGTTAAAGTGCAGCGAGGTACATGGCACATAATAGGGTCCGAGGTCCCAACATACAACACATAAATATAGCAGCGGAAGTCTCAAATAGAGTTCATAAGCAAAAGATAAAACCGGTGGTGCCACAACCCCACTAATGCAAACCAACCGGGCAAGAGCCAAGCTGCAAGAGATCACTCATTGCCCTCGCCGCCCTCGTCTAAGCAATTACCACACAAGAAGCATAACTCATAACCGGAATCCTCTCTTGAAATTGCAGACACCGGGTTAAGTACAAGATTGTACTCGCAAGTCTTACCCAAAATTATATATACATAAGGGAGAGAGAAGTATGCAAGCTTTCTAGGCTATAGTGGGTCTCTAGGTTCAACATTTGCATAAAGCTAATTTTATTGAGCAATTAATGAGTAAAATAAGCAAGGATAAGTAAATCTAGCATCATTTTAATTTATGGACAGCAAGTATATAATTCTGAAATGTATAAGCAAATGAGCCCAAACGGCGCTCTCATCATCAACCATGGACTACCAAAGTCTATACCAACATGGCACAACATGCCAACACCACCATCGAACATAATCCCATCCATAATAATCCACATTTGATGCTAACATAACTGACTAACACATCAAGCATTGTCCATCACCGAGGACGCGACTATTCGAATAGATTATACTCTGATCAGAGGTGTACAACTGGTCCCACACGAAATGAACAAAGATCAAATGCTACACACCCCGTCAACTGCGGTACACAAGTGATTCAAGCTCATTACATGCCCTTTCTTAGCCCCACCCCAACCACCTATACCACGCTAGCCTTCCCGACGACTCAGTCACGTGCGTGCGTGATGTGACCAAGGCGGGCGCGCCACGCGGGAGGCACCCCCGGCCAAACCTAGGCACCCGAGGCCCTCCAAAGGCTACCTGCCTCACAACTCTCCAACGTGGTATAAATGATCACAATAGAACTAGTAAGAACAAGCCGGTCCCAAAATAAGGCATGTGATAAGTACGTAGGGTGCTTGATTAGATGTCAAAATGTTCAGTCCTTAACAACCTAGACGGGGCTACTTGCATCAGGGGAAACCAACCTCCCATCATTGCCCTATCACCCGTCCAAGTCCAACATATTTCATCAACCATTATTTAGTAGTGTAAGTGCTCAAGTTTTATGCCCAATAATGCAAGTTGTCTATATACCACAATTAATAGCACTGTCTATCACTATAGTTCTATTAGCACTAAGCATGGCTAAGCATTAATGAATAAGACATCCCAAGCAATCCCAACCAATGGTAATGGGGTATAAGGACAGCAATATCACAAGAACTAAATGCATAAATAGGTTCTACCCATACACCATAAATCGACAATATTAATATCTAGGCAATACATGCATATATATATACGTATAGATTGCAACCAAATCATTTTTAGAGAAAGCACAGGTTCTATATGCTTAGGTGCTTGCCTTGCTGCTGAGGGTAGTCACTATCCTCCTCAGGATATGGCTCGTTACTCTCCGGAATCTCCGAATCTATCGAAAAGAAGTAATATGCGAATAAGAGCCAAATAAACATGCACATGCAAAATGATCAATAAATTATGAAATAAATATAGTGGGTAGATCATATTTTAACTTGAATTTAGTTGAAAGAATCACTAGATTATCACTTATGGTTTGGGAGATATGAAAATGACAAGCTCTCAGGTGTTGAAAATGGCAGTTCTGTAAATATTAACATTTCCTTTAGTACATTACAAGTAACATGCATTTCAAACCAAGATTTCATAATAATGATTATTTTTAGAGTAAATTACATCACTCACAGGTTCTAAGAAAAAATATTTCACAGCTGTATCTGTTGTCATTATTTATATAGAGATAATCCATGAAATGCCATTGACAAGCGTCTAAGTCCCAGAAATGCCATCGACAAGTGTGAGTTCCAATAAATGCCATCGTACAAACGATTTTGTCCCAAAAATGCCATCGCCGTTAGGGTTCCGTCCATTCCGCGCCGTTAACGGCATTTCTGGGACGCTTGTCAATGGCATTTCATGGATTATCTCATTTATATATGGGTTTTACAAGTTAAAATCATGGGAATGCTAAATAACTGCTAAACAAGATTTAAGAGGTATTTTTGCCAAAAACAACACCACAACAGCAAAGAGTACTAAAATATAAGCTCAACAAAATTGGTTTCACAATTTTAGCTTTTACCAATAATTTCTTGCGAATTTATTAAGAGCTAGACCACACAAGGGATACATATTAGCTATTTATATTTTTACTGGGAAAACCAGTACAAAAGTTGGTCATTTTTATTTTACAACATTGAAGATCACGTTTTTCTTAATCCACAGAAATTTGGTTCACTGAATTCGGAGTTCATATGAATTAGTTATGAATTTTTAAAGCGCATACCTCTTTTAGCTCAATAGATATCTTTGAAATCGATTTCTATTTTCACTCCCCTTTTCTCCAACTTCCATCGGACTTCGCTCACATGGTAGCAACCTGGACGTAGGGTCATGCGAGGCTAAGGCCTCGGGCTGATGGCAAGAGATGGAGCAAGGTCTTGGGCTGACGGCAAGAGACGTTGCCTAGGGCTGCTTCAACCGAAATCAAAAGATATGAACTCGGGGTGAGTTGCAGCCACCTTCTAGCTGCAGCAATGGAGTGGACAACCTATAGAACATTGCTATAGATGTTCAACATGGAGGGAATCCAAAAGAGGCACCATGGATGAAATGGAAGCTTACCAAATGGAGGAAAACAAAATGCTGCTGCTGCAGCCCTGCAGGCTGAAACCACCACTCTTTTGTTCCTTCTCGATCTCTCTCAACTCTCCATGCATGTGCAAGATGTTGGGATGGATGCAAAGTTTTTATGATAGGGATTGTTGTGGTCTTACATGCAGGGATTGATCTTAGGCTATTGGATGGGATTTGGGGAGGAGAAGTGAGATGAGAGCTCAGCTTGATGAAGAAAAGAAAGAACAAGCAGTGAAGATGAAAGGCGAGGAAGAAGATGGGGTTTTCTCTACCCCCTTAAGTCCTGAGGTGGGAGCACGCCCATGGGTGTGTTGTGGGGCTAAAGAGGCACCCAAGGTCAGTGACAAGTGGGCCCAAGTCGTGGCTGTCTATGAGGGTGAGAGAGGTGGGTGAAAAACTGAGTATAAATTCGTTCTTGCAATTTCCAATATTTATTTTCTTTCCCTCTCTTGGTAAATTCAATTTGACTAGGTAAAACAAGTTCAAAAATGTAGAAATTTGGTGTGGTGATAGGTGTAGGTTTCTAGGTTCCATTTTTCAAAGTTTCACACATAAATTCCAAGTGTTTTAAATCTGGTGAAAAGATGAAATTGGTTAGGCTGAAAGTTGGTTTGAATTTTTAGGAGGCCTAAACAGAGAGTAAAAATTCCACAAAATTTATATTTAGTGATGATAAATAAACTAATATTTGAATAAAATATTAAACACATATACTTCTGTTCAAGTTATTTTTCATTTAGAAGTTGCTTTGGTTTTGCCGGTTAAAGTTTAAATTGCTATCACATGTAATTACTTGCAATAAAGTAAAGATGCAACCTAAGTGATGATAATTGCATTTCTAATTACCTGGTAATTGACCTAGGGCTGTTACAGTATTAGTTCTGGTAATCTCTATTATGAATCGTCCCCGGCAACGGCGCCAGAAATGCTTGTTGATATTTCTTAACGACATTGCCAGAAATATAATTCCCAGCAATGGTGCAGAAATCCTCCTAGTATATTATGGTTATAGAGTTCATCCGCAAGCGCACGGATATACCATTGTAGCATTTTACCCGAGAGTATTCCAAGGGTATCGTATTTATTTAATCCCGTGGAAAGATCATGGTAGAGAGAACCTGACTAATAATTTATATGTTACTTGTAATAATCATAGTCTAAGCAGGGGTTAATATAATCATAGTCTAAGCAGAGTGACACAACAGCATGGAGCTACTCATTCTCATACTAAAATATCTAAGCAAAGTGGAAAGAAAAGAGAACGAGAATCTATTCCTATACTTCTAGTATACATAGTATACATATATCCTAGTTATCTGATATACTAGCTAATACCCTCTATCCGATACCCTCCTAGTGCTTCGAGAAGCCACCCCTGATTGCCAAGTTCCTTACGACAGTCCGTCATGACCATACAACCGAAGCTAAATACGGAGGAGTACCCTCCCCAGAAAATTAACTTAGGACTATATATACGTGTAGAGGAATACCTGTACTGAGCTGTCACCATCAGCGGCCCACCTCTCATCCGCAGCATATAACCCCAAATAATGATATCCCGTAATCTAGACACCACGCCAAAACTACCAGATACTACTCTAATATCATCGTCATGACATGGAGTAATTGCATATAAAAACATTATACCCGCACCAAGGCATCTCCCAGATAAGCTAGCAGTATAATCAGTACAACATAAACATAATATAAAGTTGGCATTCATATACTCGGAAAGTATTTTAATACCATAAATGTATAAAGAAGAGTATTCTAATAATAGTACAAAGCTTACAAAAGAGAAGAGAAGAGCTACTAGAGCCATATCCGAACTCTTCCGAAGGCTTCTGGACTCCGATTTCTACTCTATTCCTATTCCACTAGCTTAAGAACACTAAACTAAACTCGAGAGAATATGAGAGAGCTTTGCTTGAGGTGTATGAGTGAAATGAAAGAGGAGCTCTTTAAATAGGTAGATATAATGACGGTTATGGCGGTTGGAATAGTCGGTAATACCCTCTAACCGCCATAGGGAGTGAATCTCCACTGTTCCCTCAAAACCATGCATCCATCGGTGCTGGCATTGGTTCGGCCGAACCCTGGGCTGGCCTAACTAGCCCACAAGTTGGCTGGTGGCCTCTTAGACTTCTCTTCTCTGCAGACTTGTGAATTTTGGCCCAATTGGTTGTGTCATTTCTGAGTTCTTGGCCCATTCATACATAAGTTTGATTCTCGACATCGTCCGATTGATATATCATCTGATTTGATATCGATTCTCCTCCACTTAATGGTTATTCTCTATAAAAGGCTAGTGAATCTAATACTAGTGGAATATTATTATACTAACATGGATATGCATTGCAAGTATAACTAGTTCTTCTCTATTTTGGTAATATTGACGATTGAAACTGATCGCTAACAACCGTCAACAAATGTATTATGGTGCCCTGCAGAAACATATAGCAATCACCTTAAAAAAAAGTAAAATATGGAATTTAATATTGACTGATGAATTTAAGCTATTTACCGTAGCTTGGGAAGTAAATTATTGTATACATTTTGTTTTGAAGATCAAATTTTCCAAGGTACCAATATTATAAGCAGAACATTATCCTGGACCATGTTGAACCAATGAATATTATTTATAATTGTATTAAGGCATGCAACAAATGTTCTTTATTAAAGAAAACAAGTACTGGCAAAAACTGTAAGAGAACATGTCTGGTATGGTATATTCAATTATAATATCTAGCAATCACCTGGAAAGAAGAAATATTTAATCTATTGTCAGATAAAATCAGAAGATCAATTGTCTATGTATTGCAAGGAGGTGTGAGATTTACATGAAACTTCCTGCTCTAGATTAGCTAGGGCATGGCCTACATAGATCTGTTTTAAATTTGATTCATCGGCTATTTGATTTGGCTACGTGAAGATGCATCAAAATTGAGTAAATGATTATCACTATTTGCAAATCATTGATGACCAGGGAAAAAAAAACACCATGGATTGAACTCTGAGAGGAAGAGTAGGAGCAGTGGATTGATTGATCTCTTGATTGACATAAGGTTGTGGAAGAAAACGAAGATTAGGTGCAAGACTGGAGTGGAACGCACGCCCATCACTATAATTAAAGCGGTTGATTGGATGGGCTTTACATCAGGCCCATCATGCTAATGTAGATTAGAGTTTATAATCAATGGTTAGGATTATATGATGTATCAAATTAACGATCTGATTTTACTGGTTAACGTGGGAGCTCCTATGAAGTTCCCAATTATACTATAGGTATAGATTTCTAGCTGTGCTTGCAAATTTGCTATAGTTGCGAATGCAAATTTCCTTGATGTAGCAATTAAAATTTGTGCCCACAAATTTGACTATAACTGTGCATGCATAGCACCTATTTTTAGTTTGAGTCATAACAACTACACAATTTTCCTTGCTACACATTGTCTGATGTTCTTTTTTTTTTTTGCGAGGGAAACATGAAGCTTTATTACTCATCAATCATAGGGTTACAATCGAGGGCTAAAAGATTATGAACACACTCCGGCGCCTGAAGACGCCAAACTACAGACTCCTTCGATCTAAGCGCAAGGTGCGCGAGACTATGGGCTACTTTATCTGATGCTCTTTATTTGTTCTACTGGCCCCGTTCGATAGGTGAGTTGAGAGAGATTTTTAGCGAGAAAGCTCATTAGTACATGATTAATTAAGTATTAATTATTGAAGTATAAAATTAGAAAATAGATTCATTGGAATTTTTTAAACAACTTCTACTTAGAAACTTTTTTATTAAAAACACACCATTTAATAATAGTTTGAAAAACGTGCTAATGAAAAACGAGGAAGTTGAAGTTTGAAGTTTGGAAAAAGAACTAGGCCAAGAATAGTAATTTTCCAATAGCAACACAACGTCAATACATGTTTGTTGCATCTCAGCATGAATGATGCATCACGCCATATTGCATCTTTGGGGTTAACGTAGTTTTCAACATATTTAACAGTTCAGAATTAACTCTGACAGTTTTCTGAACCTAGTATTTTGCTCCCCATATTTGTATGCAATCATGTCGTCCTAATATAACCTTTTTATTTTGTTTGGCAGGAACACTTCTTGAAAAAAAAATGTGAAACCTGTTGAGACACGCGTAGGCTACGATAGTATAAATTACTGCGTAAATCAGGAACCATGCAAGTATTAGATCATAGATCGTTACCACTCGACGCGCTGCGCAGTGGAAGAAAGCGCTAAGAAGGCGAAGGAACCCTCGCGATGTAGCGCGCGTCGATGTAGAGGAAGTAGTCGATCACACCGGCTCGACCTTCTCCTCCTCGTGCGTTCTCCTCGCCGTGCTCCCACGCTGATCAGCACCGCAAAGCAGCGGCGTCTCTACCAGTATCCACACGTACAGGGACGGAACGCCACGCGCAGATGTGCTAGCACCCGCGTGCGGCTAGGGTTTTTTGCTCGTGGAGGGGAGTGGCGGCTAGGCTTTCTCACGTGATGCAATACCTCCGCCGGTCATACCCCTCACAAATATATAGGATCCGTGAAGGTCCGTAGGACTCCAACTCGGATCCCTATTCGAATTAAGCTCATATTGGATCTCCATCTAATCCCCTTATTCCGGCCCAATAAGCGTGCAATCCTGTAGGTTCATGTACACTCAGCTGTAACCCGAAAACTCCTTTTCGGTCCACGTGTCAACGGTGGCCCCTAGCAGAATGTATTGACCCACCGGGCATACATAAAGATCATATCGGCTGAATATCTAGTGTATACATGTATGAACACCTTTGCCTCATGATATCGATTAAGCTCAAGGCTAGATATATGACATCCTCTAATAGCTCAATCATTCACTCGAACATGTGATATATTATATATATAACTTGTGATTGACTCCTCAATGACCTTTGGTATGGCCATGCACTTTCATAATCTATAACATCGAGGGGCCCAGAGATATCTCTCCATAGAAGGAGCAAATCCCATCTTGATTATACATATCTAACTATATGTTTCATAGCATACCCGAAAACTATTTTTATAACTACCCAATTACGGAGTAGCGTTTAGCAGTCCCTAAGTAAGATACTACATATGTTGGGAACCATGATAATCTCAGGTCTAAGGATTCAACACCAACACTAAATGAGATCACTGATAACACAACACATATGGCTCTTGCAATGTATCATGTTGGGTCTATCCAACAACATGTTCCCCAACATGTGTCCA